AAACTCTTGGGCTCAAGTGATCCTCCTGTCCTGGATTCCCAAAGTGCTAGTGAGCCACCATGCCCAGCCTCCTTCAGGTTTTATAAGAAATTATTTTCCTGCTAAATTTCTAAAATTAACTGCTCATACTCTTTGACCTCAAATTTCCATATGCTGTAATTTGATTTAAAAAGGTGGTATAGGCCGGGCATGGTGGCTCACGCCCGTAATCCAAGGACTTTGGAGGCCAAGGCGGGCGGATCACCTGAGGTCGGGAGTATGAAAAACGGGTAAATTTGTAGATTAAAAGAAACTGAAGGCTATTAGCATGGTGGCTCACACCTGTAATCCCAGCACTTTGGAAGGCCGAGGTGGGCAGATCACCTGAGGTCAGGAGTTTAAGACCAGCCTAACCAATATGGTGAAACCTCATCTCTACTAAAAACACAAAAATTAGCCAGGGATGGTAGTGCATGCCTGTAATCCCAGCTACTTGGGAGGCTGAAGCAGAAGAATTGTTTGAAGCCAGGAGATGGAGGCTGCAGTGAGCTGAGATGGCACCACTGCACTCCAGCCTGGGCAAGAGAGCAAAACCCTGTTTCAAAGAAAAAAAAAAAAAAAAGTAAGAGATATATCATTCAAATGTAAAGTGTAGCTCTTCCTTAGATCCTAATGCAAAATTAAACTAACCACAGGGTGGTGGCTCACACCTGTACTCCCAGTACTTTGGGAGGACAAGGCTGGTGGATCACTTGTGAGACCTCATCTCTATAAAACATTTAAAAAAAAAAAAAAAAAAGGATCACCAGAGGTCATTAAGATCATCCTGGACAACAAACATTTTTGAGAGACTATGTCATTAAAAAAAAAAAAAAAAAAAGCAAGGCATGGTGGTGTATGCCTATAGCCGAAGCTACTCAGGAGGCTGAGGCAGCAAGATTTCTTGAGCCTGAAGTTTGAGGCTGCAGTGAACCACAATCACACCACTGCATTCCATCCTAGGTGACAGAGAAAGCCTGTCTCCAAAAACAAAAACAAAACCCAATCCCAAAACAAAACAAAAATTAACCATTTAAAAAAAAATGATGAGACAATGAGAAAAACTTGAATACTGACTCAATATTTGATAATATTAAGAAATTGTTAATGTTTTAGCACAATAGTAATATTATGCTAATACTTTTTAAAAATTATCTTTCAAGTACATAAAATAAGTAAAGAAAGGAGAAGAAAAACAAAATAAAACAAAACAAAAAAAACAAAAAAAAATACGTAAAGATAAAATGCAATGACTTCTGGGATTTGTTTTATAATAATTCCTGGGTGTGCAAGGTGGTTACAAATGAAACAAAATGCTAATGATTGAAGCTAAACTATGAGAAGATGAGAGTTCATCACATTATCCTCTCTACTGCTATAAACATTGAAACTTTTTAAAAGAAAAAGATTTTTTAAGTTTACAGCTATTATGTAAACCAATATAGAGAGTAACTATAATTTGCGGAAGGGAGAAAAAGTAACTTAAGACAGCTAAAACTTATCGTAGTAGAATAAGTGCAGTCTACACTTATTTGTTGTTGTTGTTTTTCACAACTCAGTATAGACAGAATCTTTTTTTTTTTTTTTAAAGATGGAGTTTCACCATGATGGCCAGGCTGGTCCTGAACTCCTGACCTTAGGTGATCCACCCACCTCGGCCTCCCAAAGTGCTAGGATTACAGGCGTGAGCCACCGTGCCCGGCTGAATTTTTTTTTTTTTTTAAAGGAGAAGGGGTCCCACCATGTTGCCCAGGCTGGATATAAACTCCTGAGCTCAATCGACCCTCCTGGCTCAGCCTCTCAAATAGAGAGGATTACAGGCATGTGCCACTGTGCTTGACTTACATTTAATAAATCAAAACTAGTACTGTAAATATATTACTTTGATTTATGAAATCACCTCTCAGAGGAAAGAGGTAAAAGAATTAAAAGCAGCTGCCTCTGGGGAATAGGCCTAATTGTTAACGAAATAGTGGGGCAGAAGATGGTGGTTTTTTCATTACAAGTTTTTCATACTATTTGATTTTAAAACTCTTTATGTTTATTATCTACATTAAACATTTTTAAAACTAACTTAAAAATAAATGTGTATACTTTGCCCAAAAAAATTGGTCCTATTTAGTCTATTTAGCACATATGCCTTGAATTTTATTTCAACCAATATTGATATTGCTAATTCTTGTTTCTTTTTATTTGATTTCTCCTCAAAATACTTTGTATTTTTATTTTCAGCCTGTTTCATTTTAAAGGTATATCTCTTGAGACAAAATTAGACTCCCTTTTAGCCCAACATTGAGAGTCTTTTTTTTTTTTTTTTTTNTTTTTTAATTGAGACGGAGTTTCACACTTGTTACCCAGGCTGGAGTGCAATGGCGCGATCTTGGCTCACCGCAACCTCCACCTCCTGGGTTCAGGCGATTCTCCTGCCTTAGCCTCCCAAGTAGCCGGGACTACAGGCACGCGCCACCATGCCCAGCTAATTTTTTGTATTTTTAGTAGAGACGGGGTTTCACCATGTTGACCAGGATGGTCTCGATCTCTTGACCTCGTGATCCACCCGCCTGGGCCTCCCAAAGTGCTGGGATTACAGGCGTGAGCCACCGCGCCCGGCCTGAGAGTCATTTTTATAGTTTTGTTTCAGTTATTATTCTCCACAATGCCATTACCTTCTCATAGAGTCTCCTTAGTTGTTTTGTCTTTTAAAAAATTCTGTTCATGAGGCCAGGCATAGTGGCTCACACCTGTAATCCCAGAACTTCGGGAGGCCGAGGCAGGCAGATCACCTGAGGTCGAGAGTTCGAGGCCAACCTGACCAACATGGAGAAACCCCATCTCTACTAAAAATGCAAAATTGGCCAGGCGTGGGGGCACATGTCTATAATCCCAGTTACTTGGGAGGCTCAGGCAGCAGAATCGCTTGAACCCAGGAGGTGGAGGTTGCAGTGAGCCAAGATCACACCATTGCACTCCAAATTGGAAGGCAAGTTTATAAAGTCCCCATTGTGGTTACAAGCTGCTACTTCATCCACTAAGGGTCTGCTGGATAGACGTGGTCATTGCTTTCTATCCAAAAGAGTCAGATGTAATCTGCAATTTTCAGTTCAAGTAGAGAAGATGACAGATTACACCATGCTCTCACTAGTGCTTTTTCTTATATATTTAGAAATTTCTGATATAATTTACCATCTAAATGCCTCTCCTAACTGCCATATTATGTACTGGGAATTTTAGTGCAAACAAATATAAAAAGTAAAAACCTGATGGGACCAAAGAAACCAGCTGTGAAACTCTGGCTAGCTCAGATCATACCTTTGCAATTTAGGAGTAGTATTTATTTTTTGTTACTCCAGTGCTTCCCAGAACATAAGTAAACCATAGAAAACTGCTAGTGGAAAAAGAATAAGTATTATATTTTAATAGTTGCATATTTATTAAATTTAATTAATTTATTTATTTGAGACAGATCTAGCTCTGTTGCCCAGGCTGGAGTACAGTGGTGCGAGTGGCACCATCTCAGCTCACTGCAACTTCTGTCTCACAGGCTCAAGCAATCCTCCCACCTCCTGCCTCCCAAGTTGTTAGGACTACAGGTGTACACCACCATGCCTGGCTAATTTTTGTATATTTTTGGGGTACAGATATGGTTTTGCCGTGTTGCCCAGGCTGGTCTCAAACTCCTGGGCTCAAGCGATCCACCCACTTCAGCCTCCCAAAATGTGCTGGGATTATAGGTATGAGCCACCACACCTGGCCTGTTTGTTTGTTTGTTTATTTATTTATTTAGGCTAGTCAAGTGAAGCGTGGCTGTATATTTGTTTTTAAATGAATTCTAAAAAATACAGATTTTCCATTTACCGAAGTAATTTAAAATGTCCTTTTGAATAAAAAGAGAATTCAAAAGTAAGTAAAAATTTTTTCTTTGTCCTACGGGGACTTCTACAGTTCTCTGGTTCAGGAGTAGAATACATCTGGCCTACGAATATAATCTCAGACTGCCATCACTGATGATAAAGATAATAATAATTGCCTCCAGACCAGCGAATGTAGTCTTCCTTCATGTTTCTCATGTGCTGTTGTCAGGGTTGGTTTTAGATTTCAATGGTATTTAAGATAAAGTTGGAAGGGGGGATTTAGGTGGAGCAACCATGGTCTCTCTTCACTGCATCCAGGTGCTAAACTCACCTTTTTCTGAGATTCTAACCAGGAAAAGTCTAAATGTCCTCTGATAATAAACAACAAGTATTATGTATAAGGAACTATTGAGCACTGCTATAAGCAGTATAGTGAAGTGGTTAAGAGAGATGGCTCTAAGGGCAGACTGCCTACATTCTAATCCCCATCCAGTAACAAGTTGCTAAATGACCTTGGGGAAATCAATCTCTCAATACCTCAGTTTGCTTATCTATAAAATGGGGATTCTGGCTGGGCACGGTGGCTCACGCCTGTAATCCCAACACTTTGGAAGGCCAAGTCAAGCATATCAGGAGTTCAAGACAAGGAGGCCAGAAGTTCAAGACCAGCCTGGCCAACATGGTAAAACCCCGTCTCTACAAAAATACAAAAATTAGCCAGGCATGATGGCAAGTGCCTGTAATCCCAGCTACTCGGGAGGCTAAGACAGGAGAATTGCTTGAACCCAGGAGGTAGAGGTTGCAGTGAGCCAAGATCATGCCATTGCACTCCAGCCTGGGCGACAGAGCAAGATGCCATCTCAAAATAAAGAAAATAAAATGGGGATTCTATAAAATTAGGATAGTAATGAACTCTATTTTATAGGTGTTTGAGTTAAATGAGTTAATGTACTATAGCACTTCCATAATAATTATTGCTAACTGCTACTGAGTATCTTATGTGTCTAGCACCATGAGGAATGCTTTATACAAATCATAGTGAAAACAAAGTTTTTCGTATGTCCAAAATACAAATGAAGCTGATTTTAAACATAAAAAATTTTCCAATTATTTTCTGTAAATGAAACTTACTTTTGCTTTAAAACTGTTCTTAGAGCATCTTTCTGTCCCGTTGTATACTGAGAAATGAGGATGTCATTTTCTGCACAATCAAGACACAAAAATAGATTAATTCCTGAATATTTATTAAATTTTGATAAGTAATAAAAAAATCTTTTTTAACTAAAAGAATGTTTAGGAATTCAGCCATAGCATTTCACAATTGAAAACGACAAGGAACAAATTAAGTGATTAAGTAATAATAGAATGGTCATAACCCCAAACTCACAGCCAACATCATACTGAATGGGCAAAAGTTGAACACATTCCTCCTAAGAACTAGAACAAGACAAGGATATCCAGTCTCACCACTCTTTTCAACACAGTAGTAGAAGTCCCAGTGAAAGCAAATGACAGACAAAGAAATAAAAGGCATCCAAACAGTAAAACAGGAAGTCCAGTTATCTCTGTTCACTGACGACATGGTCCTGTATCTAGAATACCCTAAAGATTCCTCCAAAATACCCCTACATCTAATAAGTGACTTAAGTAAAGTTTCAGGATACTAAATCAATGTACAAAAATCAGTGGCATTTCTATATACTAATAACATTCTAGCTGCGAATCAAACCAAGAACTCAATCCCATTTACAATAGCCACACCCAAAACAAAAAATTCCTAGGAATACATTTAATCAAGGTAAAAGATCTCTACAGGGAGAACTACAAAACACTGATGAAAAAATCACAGATGACACAAACAAATGGAAAACATTCCATGCTCATGAATTGGAAAAATCAGTATCGTTAAACTGACCATACCGACCAAAGCCATCTACAAATCAACACAGTTCCTATCGAATTACCAAGATCATTTTTCACAGAATTAGAAAAAACTATTTTAAAATTCATGTGGGGTCAGATACAGTGGCTTACGCCTGTAATCCCAGCACTTTAGGAGGCCAAGGTGGGCGAATCATTTGAGGTCAGGAGTTTGAGACCAGCCTGGCCAAGATGGTGAAACATCTTTACGAAAAAATACAAAAATTAGCTGGGTGTGGTGGTGCGCACCTGTAATGCCAGCTACTCGGGAGGCTAAGGCAGGAGAACTGCTTGAACCTGGGAGCCGGAGATTGCAGTGAGTGGAGATCACACTACTGCACTCCAGCCTGGACAACAGAGGGAGACTCCATTAAAAAAAAAAAAAAGAATTTACAAACATATCTAATACTAAACCTATGCAATAGGTTAGTAATAAGAAGATAACCTTCACCATTGCAAACCTTATTCTGGATTTTGTAGATTCTAGCAATAGCTTAATTTTGGAGAAAAAACTAAAATGAAAATAATAAATAAAAACTGTAAGACTATGTAATAAATGTTTAAAAATAAATTCTACCCTTAAGAAGAAAATTCTGGCACATGCTACAACATGGATGAACCTTGAAGACATTATGCTAAGTGAAATAAGCCAGTAACAAAAGGTCAAATACTATATGATTCTACTTATACAAGGTACCTAGGACAGTCAAATTCATAGAGACAAAAAGTAGGATGCCCAGGGCTGAGGAGAGGAAAAATGAGCAATTAGTGTTTCATGGGTATAGAGTCGGGAAACATGACAAAGCTCTAGATATGAAAGGTGATAAATGTACACCAATGTGAATGTACTCACTGTCACAGAACTGTACATTTTAAAATAAAGTGGTAAAGTTTATGTTATGTATATTACAATAAAAAAAATCAATTTTATTCTCTTACCTTTTTGTTTGTTGTTCTCTTCTATTTTATCCAAAGGCAACACTTGCACTGCAACATCTTTAGAAAAATTCTTTGGGATATGAAAGGAAGATATAGGCTAAATAACTTCATGATTCATGATTTATCCAGAACCATTTACTAGCTATGTGAGTACTTTGTTCTGGGAGGGCAAGACTGTATATTTAATATTCTTCATTTCCATCACCACGCAATGCTGATGTACCTTAAAGCAACTCAAAGGTTTGTTGAGCCAGGTATCGGGGCTCAGGCCTATAATCCCAGCACATGGGGAGACTGAGGCAGGCGGATCACAAGGTCAAGAGATCGAGACCATGGTGAAACCCCGTCTCTACTAAAAAATACAAAAATTAGCTAGGAGTGGTGGTGCGCGCCTGTGGTCCCAGCTACTCGGGAGGCTGAGACAGGAGAATTGCTTGAACTCAGGAGGCGGAGGTTGCAGTGAGCTGAGATCATACGCCACTGCACTCCAGCCTGGCACCTGGTAACAGAGCAAGGCTCTCTCAAAAAAAGAGAAAAAGGTTTGTTGAATGAGTAATACACTATCAGACAAGTGAATGAGTAAATGAACCAGCAAGCAAATGTGGCACTGAGATTCAAACTCAAATCAGTTTGCCAATTCTAGCAGAGCAACTCATTTAACATCTCAGTTGCTTCAGTGAAATGTGAAATTCTGACTCGCTGTGAGTCAAATGGAGAAGGATGGCACAACATCACGAAGATCACCCATTTATAATAACATTGTATCCATACATTTGAGAAGTTTAGATATCATTAAATAAGGCCTGCTAAAAAATAAAAAAGACAAAACAACAACAACAAAAATAACACTCCAAAGTCTAGCCATTTACTTAGGGACCAAGTACAGCTTATAATTATACATTTTATTGTGAGCTTTTGACAAAATTGTCATGTAGTCTCAATTTAATTATTATTTACCAGCTTCAATTTTCAAAGAGTATATTGTGAAACTCTCATTATACAGACTTATTAAATTGACAATATGTAGGTCAACACTATGATTAGCTGTCCAAATCTAATTAGATCTCATAACCAAAACATATTTATCAAATAGTTTTGGCATTATAAAGTTAAGATATTAATTTCATGTTATTCTTACAGAACCTCCCTTCTAAAAAAAACCGAAAGACCTCACAAGTGTTAGAAAGACCTGTGAGCACACCTCACTTCTAAAAAAAAATTGTACTGTTAGTCGTTCCTTTTTTTTTTATCTAAGAATATGTTAAGTCTCTGGGCAAGAACACCTTTTCCCTGAATAGTAAGAGAGCTTCTTTTCAGTTTTCATATCTCTTTAAGCAGCCATTATCTTACTAATGGGTATTTTTTATTCTAGGGAAGGCCTTTTGTTTAATGTCTCAAACACCATTCAAAGTCAGAATTGTAGTATATAAAACATTTGTTTTGGTAAGTTATATTTAAATAAAAACAAGGCATGTTGCTAATCAAACATAATTTAAGAATATATTATTTGACAATATTGAGAATTTGTATGTGAGCATAATTAAGAATCCTTTTGCTTACACCTTCTGACACCATGGGATTTTCTAATAGAGACTGGTGACAATTTCCAGCAGAAGTTAAATCTGATGAACCTAACAAAACAAAGGAATAGATTTTAGTGACTTTAAAATCAGATCCTTAGCTTAGAAACTGTATAGGCATGATTCAAGAACTATAAACTCCATATAACACATAAGTTGGAAAGACAATTTGCATGCAAAAAAAGTTAAGAAAATGTATTTAAATATATCTGAAGGAAGGCTTTTACAGTTGATATTTGGGAAAATAAGGTTCAGTACTGACAATAAAGTGAGATGAGCAGAAAACATTTTAAAATGTAACTATACGCTGTTGAATGTGGACAAACTATGGGTAAAAATATGTATACAACATAAAAGTCTAATTTAGCAGCAGGACTATTTGAGTGTCACTGCTGTATCCCACAAAAAGCAGCATTATAAAAGCATTTTGTTGTTTTAGCTCACATATTCATTAATTTGATCCTCACAATTACCAGCAAAGTGGATAAAGCACAGGTTACCCTTATTTTCACTGAGCTCTAGATAGGTTAAGTGAATTGGAATACAGAAGCCATCAATTGGCAGAAGTCCTGCTTTTCCCACTATGCACAGAAAGTAGTCATTAGGTAAAAAAAACACTACTCGGGGAAAAAAAAGCACACTATACAAGTTAAGCATATCCATATGGATAAAAAAAAAAAAAAAAAAAAAAAATCCATGCAAAAAAAAAAAAAAAAAAAAAAAAAAAAAGCCAGGGTCCTAAAAAGACAAAGAAATTCAAACATGATGCCAGTGATATTAAGTGCCATGGGAAAATCTATTTCTTTTTACTGTAATTGTTACTTTTTTTGAGTGTGGATTTCTTTAAAAACTTAATAACAGCTTGCCTATTTAATTTCCTAAGAAATTTATAGCTGAGCTTTGTAAACAAAATCATACTTTAATTGTATGCTATTTTATAAGCCTATACAATAAGTGATTCAAATTCAAAATTAACAATCAGCAAAAATGAATTCCAACACTGATTTACTTAGTGAGTCCCCTGGGTCCAGATGATTACAGTGGCAGACAACCATATTGAGTCTGAAGCAAATTTAATTTGCCGACGCATGAAGAATGCAGCATGTAGAAACCCACCTTGCTGCCCAGGCCAGGAGCCTCAACAGTGTACTACTGCCTCACCCCCCACAAACTATACCCCACACCTAACAGGTCATCACGAGTCAGTCCCATCTATTTAGCACTTAAAGGGGTGTCCTCGGTAACCCTACGACAGCACTGGGCCAGACCCCACTTTCTCTTGTCTGGTCTGGTCCAAGAACCATATTTTTGCCAAGGTGATGCCATTACTCCTTACCTAAATAAAACACTCAGAGGCTCTGCAAAGCCTTGGGGTTAGAGGCAGGCTACCAAGCATAGCACACGGGCCCCATGGCCAGCCTCCTCCCTGCAGCCAGCCTCCTCCCTGCAGCCAGCCTCTTCCCTGCAGCCAGCCTCCTCCCTNAAGCACCGGGTGCGGTGGCTACGTCTGTAATCCCAGCACTTTGGGAGGCCGAGGTGGGCAGATTACGAGGTCAAGAAATAGAGACCATCCTGACCAACATGGTGAAACCCTATCTCTACTAAAAATACAAAAATTAGCCAGGCATGGTGGTGTGCGCCTGTAATCCCAGCTACTTGGGAGGCTGGACAGGAGAGTCGCTTGAACCCAGGAGGCAGAGGTTGCAGTGAGCTGAAATCTCGCTACTGCACTCCAGCCTGGAGACACAGCAAGACTCCGTTTCAAAAAAAAATTTAATTGCCCTTGGAATTGTGATTCATATATATTCCCTATGGTTCCAGGATACCGTTTAAAAAAAAAAAAAAAAAACGCACAATAGGAGACGTTAAAGTTTCATTCATTCAATCTATCTACTCAAACATTTTATAGGCTTCCTGGCGATTTTCCTGGGAAACAGGGTCAGTTTTCAAACATCTGTACAAACTAGACTTATATCTTACATTTGGGAATTTAAACAAGAACTAAAGATTTATTACATATACTAAAGCTGACTGAAAAACTACGTGGAATGACATACCAGGTGATGTTCCATTCACTCTAGTCCCCGTTCCAGCAGGAAGACCTTTATTTGCAGACAATGCCGAAGGAACACAGGGCAACGTATCTCTCAGCAAAACCAAATGATCTCCATGATTTTGAGAAACTACCTCAGGAAGTCTCTTTGCTGGCATCTTAACTCTTTTTTTCTTCTGCAGGCTAACCTCAGAGCCTTTCATATTGTTGGTCACAAAACTAGTTCCACACTTAGGACGGAAAAACTTTCTCTGTGTCCTTAAGATTTCAGAACAAAATTTTCACCTCTTTGCAATGAACTGTTTTTAAAATGTCGAAATAGAACATCGACAAAGTTGAAAATCTAAATTTCGGTATTGAATCCAGAATTAGAAACAACTATAAAGTCTTGTTTACCCATTAATCCCACTCAGACTATTAATACACCACGCCAAAACGTGAACGTGGAGATGACAGGAGAATGGCCGCAGGAGCAACAATACCCGTAACAGTGCACTCCGCAACCCCAGAGCTGGTAGGGCAAAACCAAACATGTGGAGGCGGGATTACAATTTGTTGAGAAGAGGCATGACCCACATAAAAAGCGTAACAGCTTTCTTCAGCCACAGTCTTACACACCCCTTCCAGATGCAATCGTCGGAAACCTAAATTCACCCCTACGCGTCTCCAGGACGCCCGAGAACCGCGCCGTCACAGGTGTAAGCTGACAACAGCTTCAGTTGCCCGTGGTTCACAACCCACTTCCCTCCAAACCCGCCTTTGAGACACAACACGCATGCGCGTCAAAAAAAACTCATCCAAAATATCCAACCAGAAAGCTAAGCGCTCTCTGGTGCTCTTCCCTTCCTCTCCGGGTGGAAACAAACTCCGGACACAACGGGGTTGCATTTATTTATTTATTTATTTTTAAGGACGCACATTGCCGCACATGACCGCTCTACAGCCTCATCCAAGACTTGAAGAGCTCCCGATTTGTAATCCTACTTGTGTTTATCAGGGACTGTTTACACTGTTTAGCTTCCGAAGACGGTTAGGGAGGTGGGATTAGGTAAATTAGGCTTCTAAAGAGTTTCGACAGATTCGGGTCGTTATTGGAGAGGAAGTCAGGAATACAAAGCGTTGTCTGAGCAGACAATCACAGAGTTTAATCTTTCGGAGACTTTAGAATTCGCTGATGGTACCATCTTTTTCTTCCAGATTTTTTCACATTATAACGAATCGGCGTCTAAGGGTTTAAGTGTCACTTGACATCACTGCTCCCACGTGTTCTTTCCCATCTGGCGGCCGCCGCGCCAGTCCTGTACCCAACCCTCCCTCCCGAGGCTCAGCCTACCCCCAGCACCCAATAGCCTTGTACTGATGTCGGATGCGAGTGCCTGTGCTTAAGTATGGTATCTTCTCTGCCGTGAGAATCCGGGGTTCCCTGGCGGGAGGTGGCAGGTTACGCTCCAGAAAGGTGGCGGGGTCTCCGGAGGAGGCCGCCGCATGTACTTGGGGCAAGTGGGGTGCGAAGTGGGGGGGTGCGAAGCCGGACAGCGCTTCCCCCGGTCGTGTTCAGACCTTCCTGGGGATAGCGTCACCTGGGCTTTGCTAGGAACTTTAGGCCCTGAGCCACCCCCAACCCGGATTAGGGGAGTCCGGGTCTTGTTTTAGGACACTGAAATTAGACTATAAGGTATTGACACTGTGACCTTGAGCTGCCGGGGGGAAGATCCTACTTTCCGTAAAAATCGTCTCTAGACGTAACGCCAGGGCTAACACCCCTTCCCAGATCTCCTCATTTCCTAGGACGCGCTAGTTAGAGCTTTCCCTTTACGCCTTACAAGAGGCTTTAGAATAATCAAAGCAAAAAAAGTGTAATCCTATCTAAAAGCTAACGAATTTTATTTTACATCTCGGCGGTCTACTTTCATAGAAGTCTAGACTTAAAATTGACTTTAGGGGCTCACCGTTAAAGAACCTCTTATTATTATTATTATTTTGTACCTTGCTGAGTTTCTCTAATTAATGATCATTTTATTTTATTTACATTTTCCCTTCGGAATTAGGCTCATAGGTGGTACCTGTTCACAATTTATTGTATATTATGAGTATATTGAAAGAACTACAATGTCAGAGCTGGCAGAGACCTTGGAGATAGTTTAACTCTTTCTAAGGTGAAACACGTGAAACAAACAGTGACCTAAGGTCTGAGTGTAGGCACTCTAAATTATTAAAATGACAAATAAATAACTTAATTTGGGTCTTAGAACTCCTTTGTCATGACTCTGTAATTCCTTTCTTTAGAGCCTCTGTCGTGAAGTGATCATAGCTCACTGCAGCCTTGAACTTCTGAGCCCAGGCAATCCTGTCTCAGCCTCCTGAGTAGCTAGTACTACAAGCACTTGCCACCACGCCGGCTAATTTTTTTCACTTTTTTGTACAGACTAGGTCTTGCCTTGTTGCCCAGGCTTATTTTCTCTTTTCTCTCTTTTTTTTTGGGGGGGGGTGGTAGGGGGAGATGGATCTTTGCTCAGTCACAAAGGCTGGAGTGCAGTGGCATGATCTCAGCTTACTCCAACCTCTACCTCCCAGGTTCAAGCAATTCTCTTGCCTCAGCCTCCCAAATAGCTGAGGTTATAGGCGCCAGCCACTCCACCTGGCTTTTTGTCTTTTTAGTAAAGATGGGTTTTCACCATGTTGGCCAGGCTGGTCTGAAACTCCTCACCTCAAGTGATCCGCCCACCTCATCCTCCCAAAGTGCTGGGATTACAGGCGTGCACCACCACACCAGGCCTTATTGTCTTAATCTAGGTCAGCCTTCTCAATCCCTTTTCTTTATGACTGACACTTTTGAAAAGACCAGCCAGGTTGTCTTACAAATTGTTCCATGTTATAAATTTTCTTAATTATTCCCTCATGATCAGAGCCATACGAAACTTTTCAGAATACCACATAGGTGTTGCTGTCTTACTGCATCCCATCAAGAAACACCTAAGATTGGCATCCATGTTTATGATGCTAGGTTTTATGACTTAGATTATACTTTTTTTTTTTTTTTTTTTGAGACAGGGTCTCTTTCTGTCACACAGCCAAGAGAACAGTGGCATGATCATGGCTCACTGCAGCCTCCACTTTCTGGGCTCAAGTGATCCTCTTGCCCCAGCCTTCTGAGTAGCTGGGACTACAGGTGCACACCACCACGCTGGCTCATTTTTATATTTTTTTGTAGAGATGGTGTTTTGCCATGTTGCCCAGACTGGTCTAGAACTTTTGGGCTCAAGCAATCCTCCCACCTCAGCCTCCCAAAGTGCTGGGATTGAGCTACTGCGCTTGGTCAGTCACTTAGCTTATAATATATATTGGGCTATTTGGAAAATATTTTTAGGTAGATGATATATGTTATAATAAGACATTTTATAGGTGCAATGGGGAAAAATACTGGATTTTGAAGTCCAAACACGTTAGGCTCTAGCTGCCCATATACTATCTGTATAAATGACCTCATGTAAGTTTCTTAAGATTTCTGAACCATCCCTCCCAGAATTATTAGGAAAATCATAAGGGAAGTATAATATATACTTACACCTGGACAAATAAGGATAGCATGACATTAAGTATTCTTTTTTTAATAGTAACAAATATGCCAAAGAATTGTAACTTCAGAATAGAGGACATTAACTTCACTTACTAAAAAGGGAGAAACTTTTTTAAAAAAAATAATTAGCCGGCCGGGCGCGGTGGCTCAAGCCTGTAATCCCAGCACTTTGGGAGGCCGAGGCGGGTGGATCACAAGGTCAAGAGATCGAGACCATCCTGGTCAACATGGTGAAACCCCGTCTCTA